CCACGCTCGTCCCGTGCTGACGGCTTGCAGATTTCAGTCTCCTCCAAAAACAAGACATTTTTGAAGCCCGGCCAACCAATTGTTCTGAAAATAACCTGGGGCCGGGGTTTGCGAGACACGGTGCTGGCTGGGAGGGCAAGGCCGAGCCCGGCAGGACCCCGTGTCCCCCTCCGAAGGTGCCCACATTCCCACAGGTTTTACAAGCTTACCACCAACTTTGCGAGCTTTGTTTGGAGATTTTAGCCTCCTCCTGCCAGGGCTTAGCTCGGATGCTTTGGCTTAACCCCTCTCCTCCCGAAACGGGGGAGTGAGCGAGGTGCTGGCGATGGTAACACCCTGCTCGGTGGGGGTACGTGAGGATCCTCTGCCTCTTCAGCAATCCTCAGCAGAGCCGGACACCTTCCTCTGCCTCCCCCCTACCCAAATCCGCCCTTCCAGACGGGTCCTCCCCAGGCAATGCCCCGTCACAGCCCCAGGAGCAGCCACCAGCCCGGGGGGGCCACGTGGGATGTCCGGGTGGCCGGTGACTCCCACAAAGTACACAGGCGCTGGCCCACAGCCCACAGTGGCAAAGGCCTATCCCGGCAACACCACATCCCGGGATGGGGACCTTGCCTGCCTTTCCCTCTCCGTGCCAGCCGAGCGCTCCCCATGTCCCGCTGGGAGCCGTCCCGCCCAGAGCTCGCCGATTACGGCCAGCCCGTGCCAAGGCACGTAGCCCTCTCCAGTACCGAAATTGCCCCTGGGGTTTCTCCCAAAACCGGGCTGAGCCGGGCACACCCAGGGTGGAAAACCGGACCTTAACTTTTATCCAGCTGCCAAACAAAAGGCAGGAAGCGGATCACAGGCAGAGCCGGGCAGGGGTTTGAATTGCACGGGCTTGTGGCTGTTTTGGGGCAGAGACGAGGTAGAGGAGCCATCCCTCGGGAGGAAGGGCTCAAGGAGGTCCCGGCCCCCCCAAACACCACGGGGAGTCCCAGGGGAAGGCAGGAGGCTGCCAAAGACATCCGAGATCCGAGCCCCCCCATCCCAGGGGGCAAAGGGGAGCTGCAGCAAACACCCCGGGGACACAACCCCCTGCTGCCCTCCCTCCCACCACCGCCACCGCCTGAGCGGGACCCC